ATAAACGCGTTACGTTTATAATTAATTAATTAATTAGTATCTAGCTATATTAGTACGCGCTACTTATAGTTAATCTAAACGTTAACTTCTTTAAGTAGCTTATAACTAATTATTATATTATAGTAGCTAGTATTATAATATATAAAGTAGGTATGTATTTAGTAGCTTTCTAGTACTAAATTAGCTTTAAAGTATTTATCTACCTAGCTATTAGGTCGTCTATTATATCTAGTAAGAGGGATAGGTTCTATACATACTAGCTTAACGTAGAGGTTTTTTCTAAAAGTCTAAAGGTACTTTAGGTATACTAGAACGTAGCTACTTACTCTAGTATTAATTAAACCTCTAAGCTTAATTATAAGACTATTTATAAATATTTAGTAGAGTAGAGTAAACATAGAACTACTAAATAGCTTTTCGCGTAGGCTTATTACTCTAGTAGGTAGCTCTAGAAAAAAGACTTCTTCTAGAGCTAGACTTTTTCTAAATTATTAGATTTATATTCTAATATATTATTCTTAGGTACTTATAGCTCTATAAGCTCTATAGGCTTCTTCTCTAGATTAATATTCTTAATAGTTTTCTACGTAGTAGAGGCGCTTAAGTAATTATAGCTTATATAACTAGGTTACTAGTATTAGAAGTAGGTAACTAGTTTTCTAATTACTAGAGCTTTATTAGAGGTTAGTAGAATACCTAGAAGAGTAGTAGACGCGTAACGTAGCGTTAACGTAAGCGTGTTACGCTTTTTAATCTTTCTAGATACGTAAGCTTCTTCTTAGGTAAGCTCTCTAGTAAGGTCTTAAGTAAGGTCTATATACTAATCGTAATTCTAGATATACTAATATTAATAGATACCTATCTATATATATAAGTTTATTAGAAGCTTCTTATAAAGCTCTTCTACCTATTAGTCTATTAGAAGCTAGCGCTTCTACGCTAGGTAGAAGAAATTAACCTAAAAGTACGCAAAGTTAGTAGTATTTTAGTAACGTAGCTTCTAGAAATTAAGGTAGACGTTTAGCCTCTTATAGAGGTCTATATAGCTCTTCTCTAGCTAATTAAGTATATATTTATAGAAAATCTATATACTACTATTTCTTAGAGTATATAGAATTATAGAAAGAGTCTAATATATATCTTCTTCTATTTACGTATATATATAGACTATATAAGGGCTAGATTTATAGTCTTTACTACTATAAGCGTCTCTAAATATCTAGCTAGGTAAGTTAGCTACAGGTAGTACTATCTCTACAAGCTATAAGAATAAGAGGTGCTAGTAGAGTAGGTTAGGTTAAATTTAGCTATCTAAAGGTAAGAAGTAGAAGAATA